CTCGACCGCCCCTGTCTAGGCTTGGGCATCCTGGCAGTATCCCAGCCCTCGTGCTTCCTTCTGGTTGTATGGCAGTTAGGCACCTAAAGGAGCTACACCTGAACGAGATCAGACTACGGTGAAAAAAGTGTACAGAAGATAATCGTTCAGCTGTAACACCCTTTCTGTACCTGTTATATCTGCTGATTCGTCACTCTGTTGTATCTGCTGCTGACCCGCTCCAGTGCCTAGTGTCGGAGAGAAAAGACTCACAATAGCTCTATTCCAACAAAGCGGGTGGGACAGCGCGAGTGCGTGCGAGTGCGAAGGCAAAAGTTACAACGGCCCCATGCTATTTAAAGGGGACTTCCTGACATTGATCCAGGCTGTCTGATAGGCGTTGGTGGACACCGGTCAACACCGATCGTGACTCTATGAACCGCCTGAACGCTGATCACATTCGGTCGTGCTTCTGTGGCGTGCAAGAACACTCACCAGCTTTTGCTGAATTGATTGAATGATTGACTGGCCTGGATGCTTGCCGGCTTTCCTGTTGAGTTTTTGGTGAAGCAGTAGGTTCCGGGCGTTCTGAAGTTGCTTTCAGGAATCTGACCTTCTTGATAGTACCTAAATGTCATACCACCCGAAGGAAGGTTGCCCAAGCCTAGACAGGGGAAGTCGAGAGGCAGAGATCGGGTACGAACCACAGATCTTCCGGTCAGTATGCTCAAGCTCTAACCGCTAAGACATCTCGCCCCATCAGTGCTGAACTCCGACGTTGTGTTGTCGATGATGAGGACAGTGAAAAAGGCGTATTACTGTGTGGATTACGCTCGTTCAGTTATGTAAGAAAGTCAGCTTCTCGAACCATGCAAATGTGTTTCTCGATTACCGCTGATCCGCCAATCGGCAGATGGCACCTTAAGACTCAGAAATAACTATCTGGATTGCTATACAGTATTTTGGCGTACATACATAAACCGCTGAGGAACAAACATCTGGTAATCAGAGGCATTTCAGTTGTTCTTCATTATTCAGGTATCACCGCATTGTTGATAGTTTCTAAACAAACAACCTCAGAGGTAATTGTGCCCCACGGATAGGAGTACGTGAATACATCTGATGTGAGGAAAACCCGGCTGGATCGAGAAGGTAACTGTCCGAGTGAAAACGGCGCTGGACATTCTCTCATGGTACGAGGCATACCTCAGAACTATTCTGAACATTATGTCCGACAAAGTGCAGTCGAGTAATTCAATGAGAAGCTGCCAATCAACTGGTACTAATTAGCTTCAGCAGAGCATGCATACTCACACACACATTCGGTGTGCTTACTGAGTTTGAGAAACCTCAGTGGTTAGGGCGCGAGCTCACAAGCTGGAAGGTCTGTGGTTCAGACCCAACCTCA